AAATATTTTTGAAGTATTATCGATATTTAAATGATTTTTTTACTCTCAATTATTAGAAATAATTTAGGAATATTTCACCATGAATGAAAGCTTTAATATTCTATCGACATGTTATCGACTTTAATGATAGTTTTTCGATATTTTATAGATATGATTGTTAAAGTTCCTATAATATATAGGGACTATAGACACAGCTTTTGCTATTCCTCAACAATCTTTCAGTATCTTTGTCTCCTTAATTTCAACTCCTTCTCTCTCATCGCTTGACAGCCAGGCCAATAAAATTCAAATGTGTGGCGCGGACTGCCCCATGCCCTCACGAATTGTCAAAGCAAGCCAAATGGATGGGAAAAAAGCGATAGAAAAAGAAAAAAACAACGCAGAGAAGAAAACGCCAAACAATATAAGAGACAAAAAGTGAGGACGGACCGACAGTCCGCGCTGTCAAAGCGACACAGAGAGAGAAGTGCCACAGAAAACATGCAAAAATCAAGCGAGGCAAACGCGATGGGGGGTCCCCCACGAATCAAGGGTTGGGCCACATATCGTTTCGTCTTCGACTCGGACTTTGCCTTGGATTTCTTTCTTGATTCTGTAGCTGTGTTTCTTTTTTGTCCGTTTGCTTGCTGTGACATCTTGGCCACATATTTTGCTTGTCGCCGAGGACACAATACTGTCAACCGATGGAATTTCCCGCACATTCATTTCACCCTCCCCCTCTCCAAGCCCATGTCCTCTGTCAGAGCTGCGATTGACCGAAATAGAGAGGAAATTCTACACATCCCGAGGCACATCATTTATCAGGCGTTAGCTGGGCAAAGTTATTGGCCAGCCAACTCGTTGAGATTTTTGCATACCACGCGACAAACAGTCGAAATGTGTCATTGCTTCTTGTTTCAGAATTAGAAATATCCCTCTCTCTCTCTCTATCTCTCCATTCGAGCAATTTGTTATCCATCAATAAGGGTTTTTGTGTCCCCGATTGCATGGAAATAGATTACATTTAAAAAGTTGAAGGGAAACGAGGTCCAGTCTTGTTTCCAACCCAAAACCAGTCACTAACCCAAGAGTCCCCCCTTTTTAGGGGCTACATTACGATTTAGGACCCCATGCAGTGATATTTATGACACGTTTCCGTCAAAATACTCACAATTTGCGAGTCTCGCGTCGCCTCACAACATTGACACTTTGGTGCAATCACTCGTGAAAATCCTCCGCCGTAGAGTGTGAGGTCCGTAACCGTTGGAGCACTTGAGACTTCAAAGGAAATGCCTATCGCTGTCAGGGACATAAATTGCGCTGACGGGCGAAAAATGTGGAAAAGCCACCAGACATTTGTGCATTTCACAGTTGACGATGCGCGGAGTCCTTCAGTGCCCCCCCCATTCCTTGTCCCTCCCCCTTTTTGAAGTATTCCTCCACTTTGGCGTTGAAATGTATGCAGCAAAATATTTTTGCAATTGCATAAAGCCGAGACATCAATAAAATAAATAACAATAATTTTGCAAAATGCCCATAAATCCAACGAGCGTTGTCATAACTTTCGTTTTTATGACTCCAAACTAGACAGAGTGACGCGGCAGGCAGAGTCCACTCCCAGTCGCAGGTCGCGGCGGTGGGGTTGCCACCTGCGTGTGCCACAGTCGTGAATCGTGAGGCCACCCGGTTAGAGGTGCCACTGGATGGGAGGGAAATCAAGCTAGATTTTAACGGGGACTGTATATTTTGAGAATAGTAGAGATATTTCGAGTAAAAAGAACTTAAATGAAATTTGGTGACCCCGATGTTTGCAGGAAAACAATGAAAATTCCTATCCACAGATAGATCTAGCCTTTCCACCTTTTTTTTACAAGTTTCTGCATTCCCGCGGCACTTTTCCCGCCAAATCCTCCTTCAAAAAAAGGCCAAAAACCTCCACAGCACTGCCAATGAGCCGTACACGTGCACCAGGGGGCCACGTCAGTCAGCAATAAATAAATGCAAGCTGGCAGTCATTTGGTCGTCACACGGGCTACCAGCAGACAGCAGGCGGACGAATGGTTGGTGGGGGGCTTTTGGGGGGCAAAACGTGGTAGTAAACTGGCAAGGTCCTGCAGGGTGTCCTGTTGTGGCCCGCGGAAAATTGCAGTGGAAATTATTGCATTTAAACAGGACATTATCACAGCACAGACACAAAAACACTGAGGCACTCGGAGTAGAGACACTGACAGAGGTCCTGGACATGGTGGCAAAAATTGCAGCAGTTGCTGTTTCCCCTTCACCCCTCACAATCGTTGTTCTGTCTCATGTCATTGTTGCTGCTGCTGCGACTCATAAATTAAGTCCTCATAACGGTAAAGTTATTGAAGTAATAAAATTTTACATCTGACATTTCGACAATCGATGCGTCGCCATCGGGCCATCACCCTATCAGACACCAATTGCGACGCGTTTTTTTGGGGCACAAAAAATATCTGGGGGTCGCTTAATATTTATATAAAAGGAAGGGAGAGTGTTCTTTATATTATATATATTAAAAATATGGTTTTTTTTTACTTGGAAATTACCACAAATTTAAATCTTTAAGATTCATCTCTTAGAAAAGAGATGGAACGCGATAGAAAATCTGGGGACCGAGTAATATTTCTATAAAAAGAAGGACAAGTTTTCTTTATATTATATATAATAAAAATATGGCTTTTTTTACTTGGAAATTACCACAAATTTAAATAAGTTTTTCATCTTTAAGATTCATCTCTTCGGAAAAATATAGTACTCACCGGAACGAGATTAAAAATCCTCTCTGAAATGTTAGAAGAAATATAAATTAGCACGTTTAATAAAGTTCTGAAGTTCTTAAGCAAAATCCCTTCAGAAATCATATTCAAATTTGGCTAAAAGTAATTTTGGCCCCAAAGACGAGGTCCTTCGGTATGCCCGCTCCTTCTGTGCCCTGCCCTGCCACTTGATGATGACGAAATCATGTCAATATCCTTCGAAAATCCCCGTAAAACGATCTGATCACGCACTCAGGGCGTAAATATTCCAAAGCCGAAAATGCTAATGGCTCCGCGCGGCCGCTGGCGCCGCTGAGATTTCATTTTCGAGTTGATTTGAAGGACTCGTCCAACGAGGCGGATGATGATGGCCCCCACTGGCCATTAGCACGTGCACACACTGTAGAGAACGATGAAAACTCTGGCGGGGCGGCAGCAACACACATAATTTGCACAAATTACCGCCCAACGCTTTGCCATATTTTTCATCGGCCATGATGCCGCCCGTTGGGGTCGGTCTCGCTCTTGACTTTGCCGCTATTTATGCGGCAGATTGGGAGCGGGGGGGGGGGGGGGGGGGGGGGGGGGGGGGCGGCGGGGGAGAGCAGACAGGTGCGAAACAACTAGGACCAACTGTGGGGCCAAAGGACGAAACGTTTATCAGAGAGAGGTCTCCGTCTACTTGCGCCATTTAGGTGCAATGCCAGGCGCACGAACTGCACAAATCATTTCCCCGAATGCTGCAAACTTTGTCTCCTGTTCGGTGGCGAAGCAGGACTCGTTTGTGGCATAACTTTGCCTTGTTTATGTTCTGGGGATGTGACACATCCATGACGGGGAACCAGGGATAGATCTCTGTTCCCAGGATTCAGGGCACTAATTCCTAAAGAGCTAGAAATGGCCATGGAATGGGGTGGGTGATGTTTCATAAATAATCCCGCACGCATCACAATTCTTTGGATTGTCAATTACCAATTTGGGCAGAAGGACAAGAGAGACTTCAGGATAGATGGAAGTAATCAAATGTCACTGGGCAGATGAGTCCTCGAGTCCACGTTCCTGGGGTATGAAACATTCATTTGACGCCTGCGATGCCTGACACGTCAGGAGGCGTAAGAGCCCGAGTGGAGTCAGACATGGCATGGATATTATTGTATATTGGTGTGCGTGATGTTGCAACACGAACGAATGGCGGAGGCATCCCCGTGTGATGGAAGCGCGTCGAGCATAACAAGAGGCAAGTGCCAGCGGAGGAGAAAACTGACGGCTGATGCAGCCAGCCAGCCAGCCAGCCAGCCATCGGAATCACATCTTGAGAGGCACACACACGGATGGGAATGGGAAAGGCAATGGAGATGGGGATGCTGCTGCCACCGACAACATTTGGCCAGGCAATTCACACGTACCGCACATATATAGTGGCTTCTCTGAAGGACCTCGGTATGAGGCACTGGCTGTGGGTCCCCTGAAGACTTGGGAATCCGCCTTCGAATCAAAGGCAAAACGAAGGCCAAGCTAAACCCGAAAAACGATGGAGTTCCCAAAGTGAAAATGAACTTGGGAATAAATGAGGCAAGATAGTGTACTTTATAGATGCGAATAGCAATGATTCTTATAGCCTTTCCTCTGGCATTTTTGCATAAAGATTTCTTGGTTTTCAAACTATTTCAAGAATTTTGAAATCTAACGAAGAGAATGGGGAGAGTTGTTGTTCTACAAAGTAGAAGAAATCATGTAGGAGGTTGAGAGCATTGGTTGGACTATCCTTCGCTACAGACCTTCAGAGCTTCGTCTGTCCTTCAATGCTCTTGGGAAGCTGAGTCGGTCCCCAGAATCCAACAACAATATACACAGTGTTTGGCAAGGCGTCGAAAAGACTAACTAGAAGTCACATTCTTCTGTCCTTAAGAATGCCTATAATATCTAAATACTTAATCTTCCGTCCGCAAAATCCAGCAACAAAATACACGCGCAGAAGTCGGTCCCAGGAATGCAAAAACGAAGCACTTTGCCTTTGCATGAGCCACCAAATTGATGCCAGAGACCTAGACCCATGCTTGGAGCCCATTCTCGATCAATCTCTCAGAAAAATCATGCACAAGACATGCAATCTCTTATTGGACATTCCGCTAGACAATCGCTAGTGCGATTCCCCAGCAAAACCACCTCGCATGATCGATATTTTCATTTCGAAATATCTGCCATTTATAAACACCTAAATTTTGTACAAAATTACATTTAGAACTGAAAATTCCAAACATGGCTGGCTATGGAGGCCTTTGTTTGCGAGGTTTACGTTTATGGATGAGAACATCCCACATATACCGCGGCTGCAGCGGGAAAACCCCCGTACCCAAGACACCTGTAGAGGAAAAACCCCACCGGAAACTCCAGTCCACAAGCAGCTCAAATGCCAACGAAGATCCATATACCTTCAGGCGGATTAGGAGAATCTCCGTCTACAGTTTGGTGGTCGGCAGCCTCGTCGGTGCCGTGCTTTGGGCCGTCTACGAACTGGGAAAGCCAGAAATGGATCAGCATGGTGTCCCCATCGAAGATCAGTTTAGTGGCTTGCCTTGGGTGCGGGAGTTCTTGGAGAGGATGTGGCACTCCCTGCAGTACTATCAGAAAATGCTGGAAGAGCCACTGCCCGTGAAGCTGCTGCCGGACACACTCCCGCCGCCCTACATCCAGCCACCGTACACCCTGGTCCTGGAGATCAACGACATTCTGGTGCATCTGGACTGGACCTATCAGACGGGCTGGCGCTTCAAGAAGCGTCCCGGCGTCGACTTCTTTCTGCGCAAGTGCAGCAAGTACTTTGAGATCGTGGTCTACACCTCGGAGCAGGGCATGATCGCATTTCCCCTGATGGACGCCCTCGATCCCTATGGCTACATCAGCTATCGCCTGGTGCGCGGCGACACCGAGCTGGTGGAGGGGCAGCACGTGAAGAAACTCCAGAATCTCAACAGGAATCTGAGTCGCGTGGTGGTCGTGGACTGGGATCGTAATGCCACGCCCCAGCATCCGAACAACACCTTTGTCATGACCCGCTGGCTGGGCAACGACGACGATGTGCAGCTCTTCGATCTGACGGCGTTCCTGGAGCTCCTGGCCAGCAGAAATATCAACGATGTGCGGGAGATCCTCCAGTATTACAACAAATTCGAGGATCCCATTGCGCAGTTCAGGGAGAACCAGCGGAGGCTTCTGGAACGCGAGGACAAGACCACAGTCAAGACGGTTCAAACCCAACGACACTGGACGACCCGCCTTCTGGGACGATATAGAGGTACCGACAACTAGAAACGATTCAAAATTCATGGATGTTTTTCTTTTTCGTTCGTTATCGATATGTGAAGTTAGACGATTAATGTTTCCAAACCTGATGACACTGATTCTTCGATTCTATTCTCTAGAACTTATCGATAAATATATGACTGATTTGCTAATTGTAAAACTGATAATTATCGATCGATAACGATATAAATCAATAATTGTAGTTAATTATAAAATAGAACCGTGGAAATTCTCTACGCACTGCTTTTGCCAAAAAATTATCGATAATTGATGTTATCGATTAAAAATTATAGCTTTAGGAGATGGAATTTAAAGACCTTTTTATAATGTATTCATTCCATAAACGTTTCTCTGGAGATACTTCGCTTTTTAGCCAATTTTTGCAGCAATATTTCTGGTAACCCATACAGAAGATTTTTCCCTTGCTTCGATTTGGGACGAAAAGTTTTTGAAACAGTTATTGGCATCATCAATTGGAGAGTAAGTAAACAACATTAAAAATAATTGCAACTAAATCCAGGCGATTGCGCCGCCGTCACATTTTCAGCAATGGAATGGCCCCCAAGAACGAGGCACAGGACCCCACGAAGGACCCCGCACACACCCTCACAAATGGAGGCAGGAGGCAAATGCAACGAACCAAAAGCTTTTCTCAAGTGCATAAATCTGTCGCTGGAACTTCTTCTCTGGGTCTCGTTTTGCTGTTGGGCTGCCTTTGGCCCCCCTTTCCATTCCAAGTCATTTTATGATTATGTGAGAGAACTTGCCTCTACAGCGGGCATATACAGTATATATCTAGCATAAGTATAGCTGAATGTTTGTGCGATTTGGGTGCAGAGTATAATGCAATAGTAAATTGTTTGCTCGCTTCGGAATCGTTTCGATGGCAATGCAATTGAAGGCACTTTGATGTCTTTTCTCCGACTTGAATGTCGCCCCCCATTATGGTAGCCGCATTTCAATTATTTTTGGCCAAGTTTTCGTATCGAAAGATGCCATTACGATGGGTATTATATTTGGTTTTGGTTTGCTATAATTATTGTCGATATTAGAGGCTTCGATTCGGGGTAATGTCACACAGTCGTTGACTTTGATATACGACTACATTTTGCACAAATCATAAATAATGGCAAGTGCCATAATAAATCTGAAATTTCCTGCAGCCGGCAGCAAATGATCTTCCCCATCGTTGGCCTGTCCGTCTGGCAGAATGTGCTCCTCCATCAGCCTCCATCCTGCTCCTCCCAAAGTGCGCGACCAGGTGATGGTTTGACAAGTTGCTTGGGCATGAAATCAATGGAGGAGGCAGTGGGGAAACAGGGTTGCCAGCAGTGCTAACGTATTGATAACTTGAACTATCGATCATTTGTCGATGATTTTCGATAGATACAAAGATCAATTCTGCACAATTTGTTCTATATTTCACAATCAAACCATCAACAATCTCTATATATACCAATAGTTTATGGATTTATAGAATATTTCACGGATTTTCCTTTCAACAGCTAGACAACTCTATATTTGGAAGAGCCATCGAAGGTGTTCGACCCGTTCGTATATGCAATTTATTCATAAATATTGTTTGCCGCACATTCAGGGCATGCCCAGCCCTGCTCCCTGGCCGCCTTGACGCAGATGAATTCATCTTTGATAGATGATGGATGTGCCGGCTGCAGCGGCAGCCAAACATAAGTCACCAAAGACCTGTCGTACCCGGATCCCAGGCATCGGTCCATCGTCTCCCATCTCGGATGGGACGCCCAGGCCAACGGCCATCGCCATCGCCATGCATTGCTTTAGTTTTGGTTTAGTATTTGGGTTGGGGACGGGGGGCTTTGGGCCAGGAGTTTTCGTGACGTCTGAGAAATGTGCAACTACGAGCGACGAACGAACGACAACGTGGCACTCTGTCTTGTGTGTGTGTGTGTGTGTGTGCCATGTCGGGGGCATATGAGTGGAATCGATGTCGCTGGCGACAGCGCAACATCGGGGGGCATCGGCTATCAATGAAATATATGCGCGACTATATGCGACAATACCGTAAAATAATGACGCAGGTGTTTCGCTCAAGACGATGTTGCAACGAAAGAGTTTAGAATTACAGTGTTTCAAGCGGAGAATCAATCATGGCAAGGGATTGCACTGATGGGACACTGACTTTTGAAAACAGTGCTTGAACCCTCTTCTATGCGGAGGTGGGATAGAGAGTATGGAAAATTGGAAAAGAGGAAGAAAAAAAGTGTGAAAAAATTATATGGTACTCTTGGTTCTATAAAAATACCAGAATATACTATAAAAGAAAGGAAAATACTAGCAAATATAGAAAGAAATACAACAAATACTAGAACAAAATACAAAATATAGTACAACAAAAAAACTATACGAGCCAATTACTAGAAAATTTACCGCAGTCCTTTTAGCATGAAAACTTGAGAAAAATACTATAAATAAAAAAAATACTATAAAAGACAGTAAAATAGCAATACAGATATAATAAATTCGTTCAAACAATTACGAGAGAATATACCAAATATACTAGAACAATGTTAAAACTACCAAAAATATCACAAAAATTAAAAAGAAAATGTAATTAACTAGAAAAGTAAAACAATTCTGTATCTTATAAATACTATTAAAATATCAGAAAAATTCTTTAAACAACAGAAAATACTATAAAATACCTGAATTTATTATAAAAAACCAAGAAAATACCAACAAATATGTACAAAATTATGTCAGACAATTACGAAAGAATATACCAAATCTACTAAAAAATATGACCAGAAAAATATCACAAATACTCTTTATTTAAAGCCGTCAGACATACACAAGACAAAATACAAAAAATAAAAACAGAAAGATATACTGGAAACTTCCAATTAAAATACTAGAAAAATACTAGAAATATGAAATTAAAGGATTAATACTGGACCCCAGGGGTTTCCAGGTTTTCCTATAAGCGTTCAGACCGAAAATACAACCTGCAGAACAACTTGAAATATATTTCTGTCACTGGCATACACAAAAGTTTTCTTTCTCACGATCTGTTCTTCTGTGGAGATGTCCATGTCAAAGACTGATCAGTTCTCAGGATCAGAGTTGGTCTACAATCAAGCTACAATCACTACCGCTGTGATTCCTACAAAGAGAGACACACCACAAACCGAACAGACAGGCGGGACAGTCGGACAGAAAAAGAGACATTCCCCATAGCAGCAAGAGCAGCAGCAGCAGCAGCTGGAAGGCTGTTGCATGCCTCTTGGACTCTTGGGGACTCCAGTTGGGGTCTCCAGTTTCCGTTAAGTCCAATTAAAGCTGGGTCCCTATCTACGATCGGGCCACAACAGGCCCAGTCCGTAGTCCACAGTCCTCAGGTCCCCCAGTCGCTCGCTCTAAGCCGCCACAACCTGTGGCAGCAACGCTACAGCGACAGCATCGGCAGCTCCAACAACAAATTAAGTGACAAAATGTCAAATACAAACAAGCAACAAACGCGAAACAGGAGAGAGGTGGATCGGGGGAGCCGATAGAGTGTTGCCCCCTCGCGAGTGATCGAAATGAAATTTATAAATGCAACCACAGCTTGACACATTGTGGCAGTGCCCGCTGATGTTGTTTGCCTGTCGTCGGTGGGTTAGTGTCATGTGTGAGCACAAAATTTGCAAAAAGCCAACGAGTTGCAACCCCAGCAATCATTCAGCGATCCAGCGGCGACGATCGACGACTGCGACGACTGCGACGACGAGGCAGGCAGGCAGGCGACAAGAAAAATCAATTAGTGAGCGACATGTGACGATAATAATGCCAACAATAAAAATTGCACCCAATCGAAGGCAGCCCAAAGGAGGCAGTACCACCAGTGTGTGTGCGTCTGTGTGTGTGGCAAGAGGTACGTATCTGTTGAGAGGCAAGAGGTGGTACGAGTACGATCGGTGCCTGTCAAGTGTGCCAAGATAAGCAAGCGTCTTCTGGCCCTCTCTCGCGTGTGTGTCGGTGTGTCTGTTGCCTGCAATCGATCCGCCTTCACTTTGTAAGCAAATTTCAATTTCCGCAGACAGAAAAACCAAAAACAAAACCAAAACCCCCATCCACGTCTCTCTGGGAACTGGAAATCAAAACTCACCTCCGGCAATGTCAAGAAGTTGAGGTTTCGTTTCGGACTGGCATTGCGGCAAATAAACAAATTGAAAAATATGCCAGTGGAGGAGGAGTTGGAGGAGTTCCACCGATCGATCCTAACGAATGGGGGCCACTGAAGTCAACCTGAACGATCTTTTCGTTTCGTTTCGTTTCGTTTCGATCGTCGAAGCAAAACCACAGAAAGAAACAAATTGATTGTTGATCGTAAATTGAATTTGTGGCCAGATATTTATGGTTTATCTCAGATATATTTTGTATCTTGACTGTTTTTCAATCAGAAATCCATGACAAACAGCTAAGAATGGGGAGCAGATGTGAGAGTTTCATTTGAAATCAGCGAAAATTTCTGAGTTCTAAGAGAATATGCCAGAAAAGAGATCGTATGAGAAAATGGAAAGGTTTTTCGAGTGTACATTGTAGAAACTGAAGGAACTTCCAGAACATACGAATAACCAAGAATTTAAGTTCAGAAATATCTTTATTCATACTACGAAAATACTAGGAAAAATACTAGAAAATAGAATAGAATAGAAAATCCAGAAACTACTTGGATATACGAGAAAATATGTTATTTATACCAGGAAAATACTACAAGAAATACCAGAAAGTACTTGAAATACCAGAAAATATTTTTATTTATACTAGGAAAAACTCGAAGAAATACCAGAAAATACCAACAAGACAAGGAATTTTCAATGAATTGATATGGTCCTATAATACTAGAAAAATACGGAATTTAGTGGCAAATACGAGAAAATACTATAAAATACCTGCGAATACTTGAAAATACCATTGAAATACCAGAAAATATTTAAGAAAATATCCCAGAAATGGCAAAAATGCTAAACCAAAAATACTAGTAAGAAATCCAGAAAAATACTAGAAAATATAAAAGCATACCAAAAATGGATATTTTTAGTTTTTTCCAACATTTTCTTATTAATTTCTTCTACAGAAAAATATAAATATATTATTTCCAAAAGCAGATCCAAGAAATACTTAATCTCAGATATAGAAAAATACTAAATACGA